TTTGTCGGAAATACATGCCCGTCGACGGCGTTCCATGTTCTGTTTTTTGATCTAGAGGGAGAAAATGGGGGAGGGATGATGTAGGTAGCTAGCCGTACTCATTGAATTGGGGGAAGAGGAAGGAAGGATTAATGAGCTTACAAGGAGGGTGATGCTAAGCATGGACTAGTGCGAGGACAATAGGCGAGAGGGAAGGAGTTAGGACGTAATGGAATTTTGGCCCTTTCACGAGTTCCCTTAGCCCCCTTAGATGCGTCATTTCCTACCTCACAAACCGCACGCAGGCTGACGCAGCTCATACCGTAATCGACGCCATGTGAGCAACCCAGGTGGAAAGGTTTGCTCATGAAAGCCGGACTCGTTCCTCATTGCCGTTGCAAGAGCCCAATTTCAGTTTATTCTACCGCAAAACTAACGGAAACCACTTACCCTTCGTCTCATTTCTCGATCATCCAGTGGGAGAAGTGGTCGCTTTCCTTTTGCCGGTCCTGGAGAGGATGTAGCTGGTGCGTCGAGTTTGGGAGCTATGGTGGGAACTGAGGGGTGTGAAATTGGTCGCGCTTCGCTAACTTGATCTACAACCATTGATTCCGCAGGGGCTGGGGCAGCACCCAGTTGTATGACATAGACTGGTTGATAGGATTGATGATGACTCCGCTGTAATCGACGTGCTGGCATATCTGCTGGAGACGAGCCGGAAGGAGCGCAAAACACACGACGCCCAGAGTTCATCCGTACGGAATAATTTGAGCGCCAAGCCAATGTTAGTGAGACCGCACCACCCACAAACTATTGGTCCATATACAACCAATCAAAGTTTAGTCTTCTTCCAGCTTCCCGGCCTAGCCAATAAATGTGCTGAGCCATGTCTATCGGTCACCCCTCAAAAATGGCACTAATTAGTGAATCGGCCATTCGTGGTCCTCGTACGCGTTTGCTCTTTGGTACCCGCGCTACATTAGTTCACCCTTACGTGGCACAAGTCGATAGGTTGGTCCAGCGCTGCCCACCGGATCAGATGGGAAACGCGGCCTGTCTATGCCAATTTTTGTTGCCAGGTCGACAATTGGGAACTAGCCTAACCTTGGAGCCTACTTTTTGTGCATAGGCTCCGGGACATGGATGAAGGAGTTGACTGATTCGATTCCTTAGCTTACTTATCCAATCGATCGCGGTCCCTATTCCAGCGTGTCTTCGCTCTTTTACCTTCGAGCACCGCACTCGGCTTTGGTACACCGTTATGGTACTAAACCTCTCCATTTAATCAGGTGGCGGAGGCAAAATATAGTTTCGTTGTCAAGTGCTAAACAAGTGTGATATACTTAGCGTTTGGCTGAACGATGATAAAGGGAGGAAAGTGGGGAATGCATGTTTCTAAAAAAGGCAAGGCATTCCCATCCTAGGGCAAGAAGAAATTCCCAACGGGGAGGGATGTACGTATGTGTGTAGGCGCAAGTGGTGGTGATGGCTCCAATTGTAGATGGCATAATGCTGTGTGCGTTTATTTGTGGGTGTATGTTGAGCTGGTGGGGGTGTGGAAAGGGAGGAGATGGGGTGTGTGATTGTCCTCTTTTGCTCTCCTCGTAGCTTCGCTGTACTTTCCTCGCAACGATAGATAAATTGCTTAGCATGGGCGGGCGCACTGCTTGCTGCGGTTTAGTTCGGCGGAGTTACATAGGCTGCAGTCGCGATTCCTTGTTGCGTCTGTCACCATCGGCATGGCTGTGTAGGCATGGGTTACCGCATAGTGTGGAGCAAGTAGTCCAATACAGCGTGTGGGTGTGGGTGTGGGTGTTTTGGTGGCAAAGTGGTGGGGAAGTGTGTTGTTGTTGGGATGGTGGTGGGGGAGGGGAGGGGATGGGGAGTGTTCTGTACAAGGAGGTTCGGTTACTTGCCTCTGATGGATGGATGAATGGATGGGCTGGCAGACAGGTAGACTCGGTGTGGTGGTTGAGGTGGCGACAAGGTTCTTCCCATCCTCTCGGTGCGACCACTTTTATATTATCGTCGTCGTGATCATCGCCATCTCGTCTAGCGATAAGGAGGCTTCTCGTGTGCTTGTGTCAGTGTGATGGTCTTGCCATGTCGTGTTTTTAGTTAGGTATGCGATTGGGAAGGGAAAATGGAATGCTTGTATAAACATGGTGATGTGTAGGGCATAAGTGGGTATTCCTTGTGTTGGCGATGCTGTTGCTGTTGGCAGGAATATGGGTGGAGACTTGGTACCGCAGCTGTTGTGATTGAGGTACGTGGACTTTGGAGTTGGGTGCTGACTGTCGGTCTACTGTTGTATTCCATGTAATGAATGCTGGGCGCATTGGGGTTGCCGACGGGTGCCCTGTTGCTGCAGCTGCTGCTGCCGCTGCTACCTGCCTCCGTCCCAGTTGCCAATTTTTCGTGTCGTGGAAGAATGTTTGGAAGGAGTGAGGAAGGAAGTGGTGGAGTGGTGGAGGGAGGGAGGGAGGGGCTGAATGAATGAATGAGTGGTAAAGAAAATGTTTGGATGGGGGATGTTGGAGAATGGGTAGCAGTTTTTAGTGGAGATGCCGTTGGGTCGTCTGCGCTGCTCTATGGCCTGGCATAGAATTAGTGGGTGCAGATGCAAGTCGTTAAAGTTGGTGGCTGTAGGTCTGCACCTACACCTGAGGAATAAGTGCTCCTGCTGTGGTCATGATAAGTTGAAGCGAGTGCGGTAACATAGACGCCTCGTTCTTCATTCGTACCAGTGCCTAAGGCGTGGAGGGAGAAGCATTCCTTCCGCCTAATGAAGTGCTCGAAGTGACGATGTGGTTGTGTGTCTCACCTCTCGTGTCTTCGCTACTTCCCCTTGCTTCCCTTCCCCTCGCTGGTACCTCCTTGTTGGGTGGAGGCGATACGCAACTTGTTTCGGTCCATTTTATTCTGTCACAGCAATGGAATGGGGACGCAAGGCTTAGGAGAAGAGGAGGAGGAGGAGGATCTGGCCTTGGTAGCCTCATATGCATTAACAACCGCCTGCCTCTACTGTCTCCATTTCTTCTGCACTCTCCTCATTATCCCTACCTGCTAAGGCCATGTCGTGGCTCTACTTTGCGCTATCGTCTGATGATTGACCGCGAACGCGTGCTTCAATTCATCCTCCGTCTTTCTGTCCGCTTTACTGCCTTCATCAACAAGGCTCTCTTCCTCCTCCTCCTCCTCCTCCTCCTCCTGCTCTCCTTCCTCCCATCTGCTCCCATATTCTTCCAATCATCATCTTGTTGGCAGTGTTGATAGAAATTATTTCTATGCTCTAGCCGTAGCCTTCAGCTGTGGTCTGTCTTTAGCATTGACCCACTTAACGCCGCTCACCGTCCTGCCTGTCACGATCCATAATCATGTGATGAGATGAGGTTTTTGTGGTGAACGTTGTCTAGCTCATGCGTGCACTCACCGTCTGCCTTTGTCCACTCGCCGCATGAAGTGACGGGGTGGGGTGGGGCGGGGGAGGAGGAGAGTAGAGGAGATGTGCAAGACACTGCGGTCTCATAGGCGTATGCTGTGGTCCCCTACCCCTACCCCCACTGCACTCACATGATGCGGTGAAGTTTGATTTCCCGACGGCATTCTTTTTTCCACTTCATGCACTCATCACGTCGTCTCCGTCCC